TGTGGCACTTAGCCATCACCTTTCCCCAGTGCTTTTCCTGGCCAAGTGCTGGGGCCTGGACAACCAGGGATGGACAAGATGGGCAGGATGGACCTAGGGTCTGACCCAGTATAACGGCAGACCTTATGTTCTTATGATGTTCTCACATAGACTAAGGACCTTGTTACACCTTATGCTGTGAGCCGCAAAAATTGTGATTGGTGTTAGTGCCAGCTTGGAGTTTGGAACAGTCACACCCTTGGTCTAGAAACTTTCGCTGACTGCCCAGCCATGAGGCTAAAGCTGCCTTTGCTGCCCTGCCCAGAATAATTTCAGAAGAGTTAGCATTGCCAGGTCTTAAATGCAAAATTATTGTATTGGAAGCTTAAAATTATTGTATTTGCTGAAAAACTACTGTACACTAAAAAAAATATACAAATGAGTATGCAAATAAGTCTTCTTATTTACTTTATATTGCTCACTGGAATTGCCAGTGAGTGAGTTGAGTGAGAACTGGATCAAAGATGAAGCATTTCTTTATTTTGAAGCAAGCAGTCATAAGCAAGTGCCGACAGCAAGTCGCAAAGTTGGTTAACACTCCCTGAGAGTGACTAGGGTTTTGTATATGCTGCATCAATTAGCTGTCTCAAGAATTATTGTACATTTTGAATGCTATTATTTTACTATTATTGATCACACAAGGGCTGAAATTATTTACGATTATTATTGTATACTTGCCAACACTGAGTGAGAAGAGTCCTCTGGTGGCAGCAGGGGTGTGATTCCATAAGGATTTTGCCCCATGATCCTGGCTCCTCCTTCAGCACTGTGCCCTCCACACATGAAATCACTGGGCACAGCTACGACGCAGCAGTGCTGCCAAGTGTACGATAATTATTGTATTTGTATGACAATTTCAACCACTGTACAATGTTCTAATATTATAAAAGCCGTAGTGGGTCTGTCTATCTGCTCGCCGCCCCATTCCCTGCAGGCAGTGAATACAGAATGCAGGGGCTGAGGCCACCATTGCTGCCCTGGCTTCCTCTCTCTCCCACACTGTTCCCTCCTGATGCAGGGCAATGTGGGGGAAGGCCAGTGATGGCAGGCAAGAGGAGAGGAGCCGGCTCGAGGGTGCAGGGGGAGAAGCCAGACCACTGCTGCGGTGGGGGGTGGGGACCAGCAGACTTGGGCCAATGTGGGGGGATGGGAAGAGCAGGCCCAGCCCTGAAATGGTGGCAGAGAGGGTGAGGGGGGCCCCAGGCCTAAACAGTGAGTGGGGGGGGGAAGCAGCCTGGCCCAGCCTAGCCCTGAAACGGAGGGGTGGGGGGGTAAGGCCTGGTGCTGGCCCCACAACAGGAGTGGGGGAGGGTGTGGGGGGCACGCTGGACCCAGCCTGGCACCAAAATGGAGGGTATGTGGAGGGTGCGCCAGGCCCAGCCCAACCCAGAAATAGCAGCTAGGAGGTTGGGGGGGTGGGCCCAGCCCCAAAACGGTAGCAGAGGTGGGAAGGCCAGGCCTGGCCCCACAGTGGAGTGGGGGGAAGGTGGAGCTGCCCCCTCCCCCGCTCCGTGCTGGAGACAGCAGCAGCATCGGGCCTGAAGCGACGGAAGGGATGGAGGAATAGGGCCAGGCCTGAACTGGGGGGACAGGCTGGACAATGGGAGCACGGGCACAGTGTGGGATGCTGGGCTCTGTCCCTGCCTGTAATAGCCAGAACCAGAAGGGTTAACGAATAACTTACAGTAAAAAGAAAATGCTTTTTGAAGATATCTGAAACAGAGCTTATAAAACTGTTTCCTGTATGTCTGGAGTATAACCCATAAGAATTATATATAGCTGTTTGCACTAGTCTTGAGACAGCATGAGTTTTAAAAAGCAGAACTAAAGAATAAAACTGCAAATCTAGCTGATTTAATAATTTTTCGCTTAAAGTCAGCAAAATTAACGGATCTAACCACCAGGTATAATTAGCATAGTAGGTTGAACTTGGGTGGGAACATGTTAATCTCAGACCCCAAAGTGATGTGGTGTGATGTGCTTACTGGGTAAACCCAAGCTTAGGCAGTAACTTATTATAACGATTTCTAACACCTTTTAACCCTATAGGATAACAGCTATAGAATAAAATTATGAGTGGCTAGAAAGTCAACAAATTAGCACAGACAAGATATAAAAGAACACGCACGTTAAGTAAACTGCAGGAAGGACAGAACAGATGGGTCATTGCTGTCCCATGCCCCCAGATCTCTTACTCCCTGTGTGAGCAAGGACCAGATCCTGACTGAGGGACCTTCCCCAGGTTCTCCCTCCGATAGCGTAGATCAGAGACGCCTGACTTTGCTAAATCAACCTGAAGTGTACCTAAAACTGAAAAACTATCAGTAAGTTACTAACAAAGTAGGAACTCTTAGTTAATTTCTGTTTTTATTATCACTGACAATTTTAACTTGTAGTGTTATATTATCTGTTTATTAACTTAACCTTTTTACTAACTGTCATATGTGCTAACTATATCTTTTGCTGTTATAAGTAAAGTTCATTCTTTTTTATAGTAAAACTTGCAATTGCTTTCCTCCCAGCATCACCTCCTCCATCCCAAACCAAAAAGCCCAGTGGCTAATAAAGTTGCAGTGCTCTGTCAGTCTGCAACTAAATTAATATACTCACAGTGCCCAGCTGGCCTGTGACACATGCCGATCCCCTGGGTTGGGGTGGGAGGAGCGGTCCTGGCCCCAAAGCGGCGGGGGTGAGGGTTGGCCCTGGGCCTCTGCCCCACCCCCATCCTACAGGCCACCGGGATGGAGTGGATGGGGGTGTGGCTCTGGCCCCAGCTACAGTGCAGCAGGGGGAGGAGGGGGAAAACAGGGGGAGTGGGCCTGGCCCCAAAGGTGGGGGGAGCAGAGCTGGATGTGGGCCTCTGTCCCCAGCTGCCTCCCCTACTCCATCATTATTGACGGGTAATTGGCTAGTACAACCAATAATAGCAAGTGTTCAAAATGTACAATAATTTTTGAGGCAGCTAATTAATGTAGCATATGCAAAACCCAAGTCACTCAAAATGAGTCTTAACTGCCTTTGGGGTTTGCGGTCAGTACTTTATAATGGCTTGCTTAAAAATAAAGAGATGCTTCAACTTTGATGGCCCACTTCTCACTCATTGATGACTTGCAGCGAGCAATATACAGTACATAGGAAAGACATATTTGCAGACTTGTTTGCAAGCTTATTTACATTTTTCCCCCACTGTCCCATGGTTTTTCAGCAAAGATGATCATTTTGACCTTCCAAAATGATCATTTCATATTTAAGACCCAGCAATGCTGTGAGGGAGCAGCCATTTCCCAAAAAGAAGCAATCCTTATTTTTTTCCCCCTTTAACAAGTCATTTTACATTGTAATGCATTTATTTGGAGCACCAAACTCTGCTGTCTATTTCAGTCATATTAAATACTTTAGTCACATTCAGGGGTGCTGGTTGTAGCCATGTTGGTGTAAGGACAGAGGCAGGCAAGATTCTTTGGGTAGATGTGATCTCTTTCCTTTGACAAACTAAATAGTATTATCTTATTTTATTTTAAATACTATTTAGTTTGTCTAGGAAAAGAGATCATGTCTCTACCCAAAGAACCTTGTCGGCCTATGTCCTTAGAAATGTGATCTCTTTTCTTAGCCCAATTAAATTTTTTCCCAATTCTCACTCATGGACAACTTACAGAGAACAATAGAAAGTAAATAAGAAACAGACTTATTTGCAGACTTATCTGCATTTTTTTCATGTTCAGTTGGTATTTAGTTGGTCTAAGAAAAGAGATCCTATCTTTGAGGACATAGGCAGGCAAGGTTCTTTGGGTGGATGTGATCTCTTTTCTTAGTCCAACTAAATACCAACTAAACATTGAAAAAGACGCAAGTAAGCCTGCAACCATTTCTTTTTCTTTACCTTCTACTGCTCACTGTGAGTCACCTATGAGAGAGCATTGGGAAAAAAAATTAGTTGGGCTAGGAAAAGATACATCTACCCAAAGAACTTTGCCTGCCTATATCCTTAGAAATGTGATCTTCTTTCTTAGCTCAACTACATATTCCCCCAGTTCTCACTGGTGGACAACTTACAGTGAACAACAGAAAGTAAACAAGAAAGAGACTTATTTGCAATATTTTCCCCCCAGTGTTTAGTTGGCATTTGGCTGGTCTAAGTAAAGAGATCCCATCTCCCCGCAGAACCTGCCTGCCTATGGCCTTAGAGATGGGACCTCCTTTCTTAGACCAACTAAACAGAATTTAAAATAAAATAATACTATTTAGTTGGCCTAAGGTTTAAATACTAGTTAGCTGGTCTAAGAAAAGAGACCCCCATCACCCCAATGAACCTTGCCTGCCTATGTCTTTAGTGATGGGCTTTCTTTTCTTAGCTCAGCTACATTTTTTCCTCCCATTCTCACTCACGGACGGCTTACAGCGAGCAACACAAAGCGAGGAAGAATAAGACCTAGTTGCAGACTTACTCGCCTTGTGTCCAGTTAGCATGTAGCTGGGCTGAGAAAAGAGCTCGCATCTGCCCTGCCTATGCCCTTAGAGATTTCGCAGCCACTGGGGCTGAAAGGGATCTTGCGAGATCACTGGGTCCCAAGGGCAGATGCGATGATTTTTCTGAGCCCAACTCTGTTCCCCCCCACCCCCAATTCTCACCCATGGCCGACCTGCAGCGAGCAACGGAAAGAAAGAGACTCAGTTACAGCCTTGTTTGCCTTTTCTTCGCGGTGTGTAGTTGGTATTTCGCTAGTCTAGGACAGAGCGCACCAGGCGCAGGCGGGTCTCGGGGCAGCGGCGGCTGAGGAGGAGGAGGAGGAGCCCCCGCGCCCGGGCGCTACATAAAGCGGCGGCGCGACGGCGGCGGCAGCGCAGCCCCATGGCGTGCGTGGGCCGCGGGCGGTGCTGCGCG